TCCTGCTTTTTGTGTACAGGACCTATCTGGGCAATTTTTCCATATTGTCAGATAGATACCAGTGTTGTAGCTGGAACAGCCTGACTAGAAGCATGGTAAGTTCTGGAGCAGAAGTCTTCAAGACTATTGCTAAATGCTGTGAGTAGCAGCAGCCTTTGCAGTTTCACATGCCTCCACCTGATTCTTGATATCACATGGAGTGAATCAAATTAGCTGAAGACTGGCATCTGTGCTGCCAGTAACCTCTGAAGGAGGCGGAGAAAGATCATCCATACAGCATTTCTGACTGAAGATTTTTGCAAATGGTCCAGCGTTATCCTATGTCCTGATGTGCTGGGCTGTGCCATCATTGAGGATGGAGATACTTGTGGAGCCTCCTTCATTGGGTTACAAAATTGTACACTATCATTCACAATTAGATGGGGCAGGATTGCAGAGACTTATATCTGATCCATTAGTTGTGGAATCACTTAACTCTGTCTATCACCTGCTTTTGCTGTTTGGTATGCAAGTTGTCCTGTTTTGTTGCTTCACCAGGTTTATACCTTTTGTTTTGGTATGCCTTATGCTGTTCCTAACATGCTCTCCTTCACTCTTCGTTTCTATCTAGTACAAGCTGAGGTATTAATGTGAGATCCTAGCCGTTAAATCAGTAGCAGAAAGACTACTGGGTAAGTGTTTGTGAAAGGACAGTGTTTCTTCATTGTATATGAATTTCTCTGAACTTTTTGGACTTTTTTATTTCCTGAATCCTAGTATTCTAAAAAGAATCACCTGGGTGTTTCAAATTGTTCAGTGTGTGGGGTAGCTCAGAAAACCTGAAGTCCTCCAAGGAAGAAACCTGACTTTAGAAATGAAATGGGGTACTTGATAGACTGGAGTTCCAAATCAGAATTTAAATTTCTGAGATGACACTTGAACTGGAATCCTGTGATCTTTCACCTCCAGCATCGAACATACTTCCTCCCCAAACCTTTTGCCAAGTTCTTCTGTCAGCCTTCAAAAAGGGATTATTTCCACAATGCCATCCTGGTCCACTCTGTAATCATCCTGAACATCCCATTCCCTTTCCACAGCACCTTCCCCTGGAATCACAGGAGGTGTAATATCTAAGACAACAAGGTGCAGAGCTGGATGAACACAGAAGGCTAAGCAGCATCATAGGAGCAGAAAGGCTGACGTTTCGGGCCTAGACCCTTCATCAGCATCAACTCTTGATCTGCAAGCATGACCCAACCTTCTGGTATGTTTGCTATTTTCATTCACCACCTTGCTCTCTCACTCTCATTTCTATCCATGACCTGTTGCAGTGTTCCAGTGAAGCTCAACCTTAGCTTCCAATGAAGTACTTCACAGCCCTCTGGCACAATACTTAGCTCAACAATGTCAGACCATGAAATCTGTCTCCCATTATGATCTTTTTTTTTCATTTGGGCAAGTCTGAATCCTGTTTGTTGTGGGTTTTATTTTGCTTTTGGACTGAGAAGTTCATTGTTCTCTCATTCACACACTGGAAAAATATTTTGCTTCTGTAATAGAGCCATTACCATGCTCTCATTGGCTTTTGTTCCACAGTATCTTGGCCACTTAATCTCAATTCTCCTGCACTACTCCATTTCACACCTTCTCTCTTTGTCATGCCTCCCCCTCCCCTTTCAATCATATAAAGCAAATCATGTTTTGACTTCAGAGATAGTAGGAACTGCAGATGCTGGAGAATCTGAGATAACAAGGTGTAGAGCTGGATGAACACAACAGGCCAAGCAGCATCAGAGGAGCAGGAAGGCTGATGTTTCGGGCCTAGACCCTTCTTCAGCTTGCCTTCAGTTCTGAAGAAGTTGTTTTGACTAAAATACGGGCTGGATTTTTTGCAGAGTCCTGGAGACTCCATAAACTTTACAAAAGGGTGGGTGAAACCTAGATTCAGAAGGTCTGCTTCACCATTTGATGCATCTAATTAATGCTACTTGCGGAAGATACGTGGGACTTGACTCATACGAGGAAAGCTCAAACTCTAGTGGAGGTCACTCGACTTCAATACAGAGTTCAAATAGATCCCATTTTGGCATTGGCAAGAGCATTAACACAATGGGTAGGACTCAGTTTTTTCCTAGACTAGACCGAAATGCTTGTGAAGGGTAGATAAAGTCCGTAGAACTGTTGAGCTGTGATGTTATTTAAATCCCCAGCCATTTAATTTAAAAAAAAAGACACCCTGTGTCAGTGAGAGTTGGAAAAAAAAAAGTAGCCCATCTTGCAGCTACATTATCCAGTTGTTGACATTTCCCAGGGGTTATAATTATGTCTGTATTCTTGCTTGCCAGCTTTCCACAATGAAAAATTATCTCAGTGGGGGATAATCTGACAATTCAAAGAGGTTATTTAAAGATTAGCTGTTTTGTAGGCTCATGAGTATAAATCAGGTTGATTTTATAAGGAATTAAGATTTAAAAGTTTGGAACGGCCTTTCATGGATAGGATTTTTTTTTAAGTACAGTGAAGACTATAATAAAGTTAGACCATTTTATTCCATCTCAACAAGATTCTTGCGGTCTGCTCAAGTTGGAGACTTGAGTTACATACAGAGTGTTAGAGCATAATCATAGGATCCCTACAATGTGGGGACAGGCTATTTATCCCATATTGACCCCCTTGAGGATCCCATCCAGACACTTTGCCCACCTTCCAATATCTCTGTACCTGCATTTCCCACAGCGAATCCACCTGGCCTGCACACTTTGGGCAATATAGCCTGGCCAATCCACCTAACCTGCACATCTTTGGACTGTGGCAAGAAACTGGAGCACCCTGAGGAAACCCACGTAGACACGGGGAGAATGTGCAGACTCCACACAGACAGTCACCCAAGACTGGAATCAAACCCTGGTCCCTGGCATTGTGAAGCAGCAGTGCTCCCCACTGAGCTACCATGCTGCCCTTCGAGCCAATGGGTGGGATGGGAATGGCTTGATATTCAAGCAAAATACTACAGATGCTGGAAATCTTCACAAAAAATGAAGTGCTAGAGAAACTCGGTAGATTTGACGCCATCTGTTCTTCTCTCTCCGAAGTTAGTGTTACTGTAGTTGCAGTGTTACAGTGCAACTCGACCCCAACGTCCAGTCTGATCTGATATGACTTTTCAGCACTTCAGAACAGTTTTTATGGGGTGGTACCAAGTTGGCAAGTGTGTTATAAGTAATCACAGGGTGGTGAATTATTTGGCGTGGGGACGGCGGAATCGTGTGTGTGAGGGTTGATGTCTGAGGCCCCAAAATCTAAGGGAACAACTGGGATAAGGTCCCAGAGATTGTTGGCAGCCCTTTTAATGAGCTCAGTTAGGTACTCAGCAGCCAGTGAGCCTGACTCCATTTTGCACACTTCTCCTACCTTCACCCCCACCACCACCACCACAAATGCACACACGTGATCTCGACACAAGACAGACACACGCAAGTCTCCACAGACATTGCCAGGACCTGCTGAGTATTTCCAACACTCTCTGTTTTTATTCCGGTGATGCAGTCTGGATTTGAGAGAGACAATTCAGTCAGAGAAGACTGAGTTCTAATGTTTCTATATATTTGTGCTGGAGGTTTACACATGGGAATTAGTGTTCACTTGTTGCAGACCAAGATACACTCGTTGCTCTTCCAAAACTGAGACCAAAAACATTTTTCAATTAACCTTTACTTTAGCCTTAAGACCACTTATTTCTTTTACCATTAATAATGTAAACTTTGTATGTTACCAAAGCTTTAAAGAAAAATGGTTTTACTGTACTCTCTGTGAATATTTTTAAAAACCTTGTGTATACTTGTGAAAGCTTAGTCATTACATAAGGGAAAATATTCATCAAGTTGAACATTCTTCTCACATAAAGCCTATGAGGAGGGTTCATGTTGAAGTCTTAATAAAGCTTAAACAGAATTACTCATCACAGCGCCTTAAGATCCTCTGGGCAATTTATGTTGCATTTTGTGAATTCCTATCGAAGTTTAACCTAAAATTACTAGTTAGAACCTCTCGATGGCATGCTGTTTCTCTTTATGTACATGCAACAATCAAGCTAATTACTTCACAACACATTCTACCTAATCAGAGAGTTACCGAATGATATATTATTAAATATGTTGTTGTGTCATGTAAATGAACATAGCAAGAGAGCAGAAATGAGCAATAGACTTTACAATATGGTTGCTATTGACACTTGACAGTGATATAAGTAATCAATAATTACAATTTCGTATAAGACCAAGATTGCAAATATAAATAATGCCATTACATTGTCACTGGAAAATATGGAACAATGGTGGAAGTTTAAAGTATTGGCTGTGTGTCACTCCAGAAGAGTTTTGGAGTCCCTACCACACATAGTTTAAAATTTACTTTGGGAACCACATTGCTGATGGCGCAAAAGGTGTGAGAGTATCACTAGAAAGTGACTGCACATCATTTGGATTTTGCATTGAGTGAAGTAGGGCTGCAGTGTGGCACAAATACAAGTGTTTTTAAAGTTCCCATGTGGAACAATAGGTATTTGGAAGCTGGAGAAAATAGTTGTTTGTTGTATCCGTATTAAAATACTGTATGGAAGATCCAATGTTAAGAGTCATTAGAAGCAGCTAAGCAATCTTTGGGTTACTGGTAACTAACTCTGAAAGCATCTATGTAACCTTTACCTAATTTTTACCACAAAGCCCAAAAGTTCAGGTAATAATCCTCAGATAGAATATATTATAATTATAGGCACATTATAAATAGTGACGTTTCTTTCACTACTTTTGTTCAAAAACAAGCCTCAGCTGCATTGTTTTTCCATTGCCAGTCCCCTGGGTTACCACTGGTAATCCTGTATAAACAGAAAATTACCACGTTATTTACAGGTTCAAGTGCTCGATTGTTGGTAGTATGTGACTATATTAATTTTCAAGGAGTTGCTAGTTGTGTTTTTTTTTGAAAATTAGTTTGAAGGCAGCTGTAAGAGCTTTCAATGTTCCCCAGAATCAAGTCTTCCCTACATTGCAGCAATAGATTCTAAATGGCATTCAGTGGAAAGTACGAATTGGAGAGTCAAGAAAACTTTGAGCAGCTCATGAAAGCTCTCGGTAAGTTTAACCTGCAACTTCTGTTCTTTTGCTTTTATATGGCTTTATGTTCAGTGTCAATAAATTGATACAAAAGCATTACCTACTTAAAATCAGTCCCAGTTAGGGTAAAGCAGTGTGGTTGAACACCAGTTCACTCATCTTAGTGAAAGATCTGTGCCACATTTTATCTTTCTGCAACTTTCATTGAAATGGTTTAGAAACCAAACCAATAGGACAATTCTGCAAATACATTTTTCAATTGGCAAAATGATCTGTATTACTTAGCAGATGTGTAAATGTTAATTTGTAGAATAATATAATTAAATGAAGGTAACCAGAAGCTGAAATGAGGAAGGGTTGTTGGGCCTGAAACATTAACTGATTTCTCTCCACGGATGCTGCCAGCCCTGCTGAGCTTTTCCAGTGATTTCTGGTTTTGTTGCTGAAATGTGTGTGTTGTTCTTAGTGCAGTGAGGGTTTTGAGCAAAAGGACGCCTATCAGAAAACAAAATGAAAGGGAATCTGAGCACGCTACTTCACTTTCTTCAAGATTCTGTAAGATTTTTCAACAAATGATCTATCAAAGGATTAAGTATGAATTATACTCCAATGAGCTTTTTATTCCTTGACATTTTACATTATGGTCCCTGGCTTGTGGTGAAGTGCCAAAAAAGGAAAAGTCTGATCAGAACCCTGATCTTTCTGCTCAATTCTTCAATCCTTTCTTGCAATTTGTTTTTTAATTCCCTCCAATTACATCCACTTACTTTCTTTGTCTTTGACTGCTTGAATGTTAACCACCCATTTTCACGTTCTGTGTGCAAATCTGACTTAATGCTAGATTTGTCTGTCAGCTTAATGATAACAGTGTACCACATCACAATATAGTTTATTTTTCACATTTCAGCTTTTTATGTGTTTTTCATAAAAATGAATAATTTTTAATTCTCGCTTACCAGTTTGATTTCCCCAGTTAGTGATCACAGAAGATTTTTTCTGTTTCTCAATAGTTTGCAAATGGTGTAAACCTTTTATAGTATGCCACTGTTAAATCATAAAAGTACTTAACAACCGTGTCACTTTTACCAATGGTATAGCATGTTGCAGTGCAAAGTCGTAGCAGCGTACGAATGGCCAGATCCGGGTTAGTTTCTGTGGCACGGTCCTGCACTCAAACAACAATATTAAGAAGAAATACAGAATGGATGCTTTAGGACAAGTGGGAAAGTTTGAGGAAGATGTCAATGCCATGTAATTCCTAACAGCATTACAGAGTAGCACTGCCTTTGGGTGATGTTAATCAAGGATGATCAATTGGAAAAGTTGGCTTGTGGGAGATTTAAAGAAAGTGAATCCATCTATGTTTATGTGGGATAAACCTTTTAAAAATGATAGAAACTGGTGTTGTTGCTGATAAATCAAAGGGTATTAATGTACCTCCCCACCTCTCTGCCTTTCCAAAGACACAAACAAACTATTTTCTTCCTAGCTATGGAATCATGGAAGGTCCTTATAACGGAAATAAATTAAATGCTTGGAATTATAGGAATGAAATAGAGCCTGATGATAGGCTAAGGTCAACAGTGTGGCTTTGTGTTTTGTAATATGCACATAGTGTAGGAATTAAATTTGATCTGATCACAGTTCTAAACATAGTTTTGTACCTTATCCGAAATGTTGTGCCAGTTTGGTGCTGTGTAGAACTGAAGCAAAACAAGCTTTAGTTTCCATAAAACAGCTCATTGTAAACTTTAACAGGGAAGTGCATGCGTGCCCACCATTTTTACATATATCTGCTTACTTACCCTTTCATTCTTCTTGGATAATGCACAGGGACAGTCAATATCAGGCAACGTTAAGAGTGACAACTGTGGCTAAACAAAATGTGACTCAAATTTCAAGCCTATTTAAACGTTTGCAGCTGTGCTTGTTTTTAGTAAGTGACCTTCATCAATCTGTTTGGCACTTGTAAAACAAATTAGTAGTTTCACGTCACCAGGCACATGATCTATGAGCATTTCAATATGACACTCAATGGTGCCAAGATGCAGGACATCTCTTGTGGGCTGAAGAGGAACTTGGAGTGTGAGTGGAAGAATCCAGTTGTTGCAGTCCATTTGGTATCAATAACACTGATAGGACTAGGAAAGAGGTTCTGGATGAGGGATTACAAGCATACTGGGAATACATCAAAAGGCAGAACCAAAAAGATGATAATCTCTCTATTACTACCTGAACCACATGCAAATTGGTGTACATTTGCATGTTGGCTGGATAAGTTAGACGGACAAGGGTAACATGGAAGATGAATTTCCAGAGTGATTTTATTACAGTATGAAGCAGAACCTCCCCAGGCATTTTTAAAGCGAGTAATGTGTAATAGGGTAAGATTGATAAGAGATCTCATGGTTAAGAATACTCTAGGGGCAGCAATCACAATAAGGTAGTATTTCAAATTCAGCTTGAGGGAGAACAACTTGGGCCTTAAACCAATGTTCTCAAACTATGTAAGGGCAATTACAGATGTATGAAGAAAGATTTTTCTTTTGAGGGCTGGGAAAAGAGATTAAGGGGAAAGGTAGTGAATGAGCAGTGACAGACATTTAAGCAGATATTTCATAACGGTCAGCAAAAAAAAATTACTCTGGTTTAAAAGAACGAGGAACCACCTGTGGTTAACAAATGTGATCAAGAAGAATATTCTGTCAGAAACTAAGGCATTTAAGCAGAGAAACCTAGAGGCAGGGCAGGCCTGAGGATTGGGATTTTGTTTAGGAACCAGCAGCAGATGACTGAAAAGCTAAGAGAGAAAGAAAATTATTTGATCACGAAAGTACTTTGGCAAAACGTATAAAAACAAACAGCAAGAGCTTGTGTGGGTGCATAAAACATGAATAGCTGAATTATGGAAGATGCAATTAAGTAATTAGTAATAAGGAGCAAGGAAATGGCAGGTAATCCAATGGTCTTCATGGTGGAGGATCATTTAGTAATAATACACCCTTACGATAACAGATAAACAAGGTGCTAATTAGAGGAAAGATCTTGACACAGTCTCTGTCACGGAGGTCAAAGGATTTGATGAACTAATGGGACGAAAGGCAATAATTGCCAGGACCTGATGGCCTGAATCCAAGGTTTAAAGGAAGTGGTTGCAGAGACGGTGGAAGTATTGGTCAAGATATTCCAGAACTCATTTGATTCTATGAACGTTCCTGCAGATTGGAAACCAGTTAATGTGACACTGCATGCAAGAAGGGATGGAGACAGAAAGCAAAAATCTATAGGTATTTAGCTTGACATCTGTCATTGGGAAAATGCTGCAGTCCATTATTAAGGAAGAAATAGCAGGACATTTAGAAAAGCTTAACACAATCAAACAGAGTCAGCATGGTTTGTGAATGGAAATCATGTTTGACAAATTTGCTTGAGTTCTTTGACGATATTGCAAGCAGAATTGATAAAGGGGAACTACTAGATTGTAGTGCATTTAAACTTTCAAAAGGCTCAATAAGGTTCCACATAAAAGGTTTTTGTACAAGATAGGAGTTCACAGTATTGGGGTTAATGTATTAGCATGTATTGAGAACTGGTTAACAAACAGAAGGCAGCGTCAGGATTAATGGATCTTTTTCAGATTGGAATGGTGTAACTAGTGGGATGCCACAAGGGCTTTAATTATTTACTATCTATATTAATGAGTGGGAGGAGGGGCAGAATGTAATGTATTCAAATTTGACGATGATACAAAAATAGGTGGGAGGGCATGTTGTGATAGGGGCATAAGGAATCTGCAGGGGGATATAGATAGGTTGAGTGAGTGAACAAGACTTGGCAGATGGAGTTTAACAGCAGAATGTGAAGTCATAAATGTTGGTAGGAAGAATTAAAAGCCAGACTATTACTTAAATGAAGAGATACTTCAATAAGCAACAATACAGAGGGGCCTGGGTGTTCTTATACATTAAATACAACATGTTGAGATGCAAGTGCAGCAGCTAATTAAGAAACAAATGGAATTTTGGCCTTTATTGCTGGGCATATGGAGTTTAACGTTAGGGAAGTGCTGTTTCAACTCTACACAGTATTGGTGAGGCCGCACCTGGAGTATTGTGTACAGTTTTTGATTCCGTAGTTATGAAAGGATATACTGGTATTGGAGGCAGTTCAAAAGAGATTCATTAGGCTGATTCCTGAGGTGAAGGAGTGGACTTATCAAGAATAGCTGAACAGGTTAGGCCTTTATTCATTAGGGTTTAGATGAATGGGGGGTGATTTTATCAAAAGATCAAATGCTTTATACACAATAGCCTGAGGGAGCTTTGACAGAGTAAACATTGGAAAAAAATGTCTCCGTTACTGGGGGAGTCTCGAACCAGGTGTCATAGTTCAGGATGAGAGAGCATACATTTAAAATTGGGACACACAGGAATTCTCCCAGAGGGTTGTGTATGTCTGGAATTCTTTACACAGAGACTTGTGGAGGCTAGATCACTGAAAACATATAAAGAGGAGATAAATTTTTGAAATATCAGGGAATTGACAACTATGCAGAGCTGCCAATAAAGAAGAGTTGAGGCGTGGGGCAGATCACTCATGACATGAGGAGCCGAATGGCCTACTTCACCTATTTCTTATGTTCAGCCAGTAAAAACTGTGCTGGAGCATTGTAGAGTGACTCTGTGCCTCCATACTTTCGAATTTATGATCTCCTGTGATTTAACAGAAAATAGAAAATTATCCTGTGGTAGTGGTAAATCGCAGAGCTAAATAAATTTAGTTCATGTTGCAAATTCTGTGTAGGCCTTTACTTGAGCACAAATGATTAGGAGATCTGAAAAGGTTTTTCTTTTACCTTGGATAAAAATTTGATTTTTTTTATGCATTTGTATTTCTTTACTAGGACTTTCAGATAATATAATTCAGAAATATAAAGACCTCGGCAGAGTTATTGAACTTACTCAAAATGGGAATTCGTTTCAAGCTATTTACAATTATGGCAGCAAAGCAATTACCAATGAATTCACTATTGGACAAGAAAGTGAGTTTGTATCATTCACAGGGCATAGAGTCAAGGTAAGATTGCTCAGTTTTTGTAGAAGCATAAGAACTTTTTAAAATGGGCTTTTAGTGTTCTCCTTTTAATGATCAATGGTCCAGGTGCAAATTTCTGTGTGAGACTCTCGAAAAGGTACAAAACCACTGACAAATTTTTAAAAATACATGTTGACTTTGTTTCCATGAACCTCTATAATAATTGAGTAAAATTTGGTGTAACATTACTTCACCCTGTTCAGTTGCATTTCATGAATGATATTCCAGTGATTCAAACAAATCTGGGGAAAGAGTTTTGAATTGTATTTGGTCATCCATTTCTGAAACTATGTCTTTCACTTGTTCTTGAGCAGGCATGACTATTTGTCTTTGTGTGATCTCTCTCTATTATACACAGCAGTCCTTTGGTATATAACTTTCCATTTAAAATCTTCAGTGCAATTATAAGGCCTGAAAATGTATTCTAAAATTGACAGAATTTTTTTTGAAAAGTCCTGCTTAAAAATTTATATTGAATAAAACTAAGGGAACCGTAGTCTTTTGAGGATGATGCTATTTTGTAATTCGACAAACTTTCATAATGATGTCCAAAAGTAGGGAGGAAAAATTTGGGATTATGTGCCTTTTTTTTCATGATTTGTGAATATTCCACAGCACAGCTAATGTGTAACCCCTGATTTATTGAAGGAAATGCAGCAGCCAATTTACACACAGCAATTTTCCATAAATATCAATGAAGTAATGACCAGATAATTGATTTTAAGTGATGTTGGTTGAGAGAGAAATATTGGCCAAGACCCTGGGAAGAATTTCCGAGATCATCTTCAAAATAGGACAAATTAGATTGATTTACTGGCACCTGGGAAGCAATTGGGTTTTTGGTTTGGTTAAATATCTCATTAGGAAAAATGACACTTTCAACAGTGACAAAGATTCTCCTAGAAAGTTGGAACTAGATCAGCTTTGGGCAGAGATATCTGCTGCATGATCATCATGTATATAATATTAATAAATACTGTTTGAAGAAATACTCTGAGGTCTGGCATGAGCTTATCTGAACAGACAAACCAATACTAAACAGTTTTGAAGCATTTCACAGCTGATAAAGCTCTTATGAAAGTCACTGTTGTGATGCAGCTCTCCCACAGTGCTGCATTGGAATTTCAACCTAGATTTTGAGCCTAAGCCTCTGTCATGGAACTTGAAACCTTCTGGCTCAGCCATGATCCACAATTGACCATAAAAGTACTGTGGGTAGAATTTTCTGAATTGTCCCACAGATTTTAAAAGTGGGAAGGAATCGGGGTTAAGAGCTTAACTGGGCAGGAGGCAAAAGATTCTGTTTCCTAATGCTGGGTTAATATTTTGCAATGGAGTTCTCAGAACCTTCTCAGGCTGGTCAGCTATCTGTTTTATATTTATTAAAATGTTACAAACATTCATTACATCTCAGCCCACTGGAGTTACACTCACGGAAGCAATGTAAGGCCAAAAATGGGAAACACGTGTTATTATGAATCTGCTGATATAAAGGCTTGAAGCTAGGCAGGATAGATTCTTTCTTCCAAGCTGTGGTGATTTATAAACATATTCAGTTAATTATCTCCTTCATAACAAGGTGTTATTTTGAAAAAAATGTTTGGTGTTAGATTGAAGCCTATTCCTGATGATCCACTCATAAGAAGTCAAATTCATATGCAGTCATATGCAGTCTGGTTTGCTGTTGTTAAATACCTCATGTTAGAGATGAAATCTTACTGAACCATCAAGCCTGCCCAAGTGGGACAGGCATATTGGCTGATCCTGGCAAACCTAATCTGGGCTGGCACATGGGGGCTGACTGAAAATGAGACTCAACACAAAAGACCAATGTTTGTACTTGTGTCCTCGACCCATGCAAGCCTTTGGTGAAGTGTTACCAGATGTGTACATTTTCCTATTTATGATGATAGGCCAGTGACCCGATGGAGCATGAGCACTGAATGTTGCAGGAGGGTTTATGTTTTCATGTGAACCCTGGCAGATGTGTGAGAGGGAGTACCACTGTGATGCCAATGGCACTACATTGAAGTCACAGACATTGATTGAACAAGAGTTGCCTGATAGAGACCCAACCTCCTGGGTGACAGTCCTGCGCAATGGGCACCTTACAATGCTACCTCACTTGGGAGTCTAAAGCATTGAGTGGATAGTGGCACTTACCCTGGTAGAGCGCAGGAGAGCATTCCTCCTCTTGTGGCACTGGAGCCAGGTTCTCTTGAGCTACCCAAGGACACTGCCCTCTGCAGCCAGCTCCGTCCAGTCAGTCTTTGTCAGTCAGAGTGAACCTTGCTGCCATTTGTAGGGAAAGGAACTTCTCATGGTTAGCCTGGAGGGGGCATTGTTAAAGCATAGTGTTGTTTTTTGCCTGATGTCTGACATCTCCAGGGGGTGGATAGGGTTGATGAGCAGAGATTGAGTGATGGTTTGGGGCTGTAGAAAGTGAAGTGCCTTTTAAATTTGGCACCTGTATGTTGAGCTCCAAAAGGTCCCAGCAGTCCTCCAAACTTCTTCCACACAATTCAATGGTTTACCTGTGCGTGCAAATGAAATGAGCTGAGAAGAATATAATCACATGCGGGAAAAAACCTGACTTTCACACAAGGGGAAGTGTCTCCTTTTTTTTATGCACACCTCCACACTTAAGGTGGAATTTTTTTTGAGACAATGTGTGCACTATAAATGTCATATGATCATTGATTACAATGAAGCAGCATCAAAAATAAAGTGACAGCCTCAAACTGCGTCCTCTATAGTACCAAAGCACCCCTTTCTAAAAGAAAATTGTATTTGTAGATTCTCTGACCAGAGAAGAATTTGAAAAATAACCGACTTTACCAGAGAATGAGGCACTATACTATATTTATCTTCAGGAGTTATTGAAATAATTTAACTGGCTTATCTTTTGGCAATTATTTGGCAGATGTAGGAGGAGGTGTTGGGTTTGTTGAAAATCATTAGGGTGGATAAGTTCCCAGGGCCTGATGGGATCTAACCCAAGATACTGAGAGAGGCAAGGGAGGAGATTACTGGGGCCTTGACAGAGATCTTTGTATCCCTTTTAGCCACAGACGAGTTCCCACAAGACTGGAGAACAACAAATGCTTTTCCTTTGTCTGAGAAGGGCAATGGAGATAACCCTGGAAATTATAGGCTGGTGAGCCTTACATCAGTGGCAGAGAAATTATTGGAGAAGATTCTTAGGGACAGGATTTACTTGCATTTGGAAAAGAATGGACTTATTATGGATAGTCAGCATGGCTTTGTGCGGGGGAGGTCTTGTTTCTCAAACTTTTTTGAGGAAGTGAAGTAGATGATTGATGAGGATAGGACAGTTGATGTTCTCTAAATGGACTTTACCAAAACATTTGATGAGGTCCCTCATGGTAGGCTGGTCCAGAAGATTAAGTCGCGTGGAATCCATGGTAAGTTGGCAAATTGGATACAAAATTGGCTTGGTCATAGAACACAGAGGGCAGTTGTGAGTGCTGTTTTTCCAACTCGAGGTTTGTGACCAGTGGTGTTCCGGAATGATCAGGTCTGGGACTTCTGTTGTTTGTAATATAAACAACATAGACAAAAATGTAGCTGGTCTGACTAGGAAGTTTGCAGACAACACAAAAATTAGTGGAGTTGTGGATATTGAGGATGATTATCAGAGGATATAGCGGGATATAAGATCAGTTGGAATGTTGGGGAGAACCGTCATATGGAGTTTAATCCGGACTAGTGTGAAGTGATGCACTTTGAAAGGATAAATGCAAGAGTAAAGCATACAGATAACAGCAGGACCCTTAGGAGCATTGATATACAGAGGCATCTTGAACGTAAGACCGTAACTCCCTGAAAGTGGCAACACATGTGGAGAAGGTGGTAAAGAAGGCATACAGCATGCTTGTCTTCATTAGTCAGGCATTCAGTATAAAGGGTGGCAAGTCATGTTTAGTTCGGCCATATTTGGCGTATTGAGTACACTTCTAGTCACCACACTAAAGGAAGGATGTGGAGGCTTTGGAGATGATGCAGAAGAGGTTTACCAGGATGTTGCCTGGATCGGAGTAAATTAGCTGAAAGGAGAGTTTGGATGAACTTGTATTGTTTTCACCGGAGTGTTGGAGGCTGAGAGGGCGACCTGATAGAAGTATATAAAATTATGAGAGACATGGAAGAGGTGGATATTTGGAGTCTTTCTCCCAGGGTGGAAATGTCAACCACTAGAGGGCATAAGTTTAAGATGAGAGGGGCAAAGTTAAAAGGAAATGTGCATGGCAAGTTCTTTTACACAGAATGTGGAAGCTTTCTGAAAGATGCTGCCAGGGGAAATGGTAGAAGCAAATACATTAACGAAGTTTAAGAGGTATTTAGACAGACAAATGAACAGGCAGGAAATAGAGGGATGGTGGGCCGAAGGGCCTGTTCCTGTGCTGTACTGTTCTATGTTCTAATGTACTGAAACTGACCATAAATCTAAGGAAAATATTGAAAATGAGTGTAACATATATTGTGTGTTATATCCTCCAAACATCTTTGTGCACCTACAGATCAGCAAACATCTCCCTCCTGTTCACTCCTACTGTATTGACCAGTGGTCATATCAGCCTATGTTCCTCAATAGACAGGCATCCAGACAACCTCCTATTGAGCAGACAAAATTAAATATAGGTAGAACTGAAATGCAGAATAGCAACTTGACTCATCTTGCTGAATGAAAATCAGTAATAAATAGACATTATAAAAGACATAATTTTTTCATCTCCTTTCATTTCACTGTTTTGTATCCTGAGCTGCTGAGCAGAGCCTGTAACCTGACCCCCTTCACTGTCCAGAGATTTTAAAAGTCTTTGCTAGAGCAACAGACAGTCATGTCATGTCATGGTTGCAAAATGAAACATTCTCTTTTTTTAAAAAAAATCAACATCGTCGTAGGGCTGCGTCTTCAGAAAAGTGTCAGAGTGCTACAACATACTGGAAAAATGCCAGGTCTGGAAAGACTCTTGAACATTTTAGCCTCTGATCCGAAACCTTCAGAATCAGTCTCAGGCCACAGCAAACTCTGTGCACTTATGATTCAGGCACCGAACCTGAGCTGCATCCTAAGTGCAAAGGTTTTAATGTGTGCTGTCAAATTTGAGGATAAAAGAAAAGCATCCCATCAGACAATACTGCCCTCATAGGGAGGAAGATAGGAAGAGCAGAAAGTCACTCGGCCTCTTGTGATCGCTCTGAACTCATTTAGATCATGGCTGATCCATCATCCTTGACCTATCTCCATCTAATTCAACCTCTGCATAATACTCCTTCATCATGTTTAATTAACAATAATCTATCAATCTCTGAGTTAAAATTAATTATTGACCTGCCATCAATTGCTATTTGTGAAAGAAAGTTCCATACTTGGCGTGCACAAGAGTTTCTTAATTGCTTGGACCTAGATCTGATTTTTAGGCTGTAGTTCCTAGACCTAGACTTGCCAACTAGTTAAAATAATTGCTCTTTCAGTTCCCTTGGTTATCTTGAAAAGCTTGATCAAATCATACCTTAACCCCTAGCTTCCAAGAAATACAACATTATTTCTGCAATATCTGCATGTGATTTAAGTTTTGGTGTCCAGGTACTATTCTGCTAAATCTCCTCCGAAAACCAGTATATCCTTCTAATTGTATCGTGCCAGAAATTGCCCAGAGCACAGTGCTCCAGGTGTGATGTAACCATGACATTGTATAGGTGTAGTACAACTTCCATCTTCTTGTAGTCTGATCCTATCGATATAAAAGCTACTATTCCACAAATATTTTAGATTATTTTCTGTACTTTACATATACGTACTGATATATGTACATTGAGTTTGAAAGCTATTTGGACCTCTGCTGTTTAGCCATTCATCATTTAGCATGTACTCTGTTCTATCATTTTTAGATCCAAAGTGCATCAACTCACACTTGCCTGCACAGATATCCATCTGCTAGCATTTGCCAGAGGATTATCCGCACTAGTGATTAATTTAGTAATTACTTGTAGAGGATTGACAACATTGAGGACATTTTTTAAAAAATTTAATCTGTTGAAGAAACTTTATATTATCCTGCTGTTGCTTTTAGGCTTTGGCAAAGCTGGAAGGTGAGAATAAGCTTGTTATCACAATGGATGGACTGACTGCAGCTATGGAGTTGAGTGGAGACAAAATGATTGAAGTAAGTTACTGTTATTATTGGCACCACCATTGAAGCTGTTTTTTGGGATTGCTCAAAAACTTATCAATGGCACAATTCTGTGAGTGCCAGGAATTCTGATTACATTAGGTTTCTGGAAACTTCTTTCAAAATCCAGACTTGAATATACAGTTCTTGAGTTTAATTTACTTATTTCCTGTATTGATGTTTTAAGTGAGTACGTGTGCACATAATCAAGGTGTGTATTTCAAAAACCAAAATAGAATAAAATACCAGTTGAGCTCACTCTGTGATTTTAAACTAAATAAGTGATGCTATTATTCTAGTTACTGAACCAGAACACAAATTATATAAAGGCTACTCATCAGCAAAACATTATGATGAATGCCTCAAATTACTTCACATAAGGCAATGCATTAGTGTAGGATCAAAGGTTGTAAACTTTGACATGTTTCAATTCCCTAACTGGCTCAACAATGATATATTTCCAAATGAAAGGTTACAGACAATATGACCAGCCTATTAAATGTACACAATTGTACACAAACTAATACCTAATTAATGAAAGAGCTTCTGTAGCCACTTTGGTTGATGTATAAATATTAGGGAAAATGCCACATGTAGGCAAGTTCTTCAGATTTAACAGGGCAATTCTAATCTATCTTGTCTTTAGAAAATGGCCATGAAAGACTAATTACACTCTACTGTTCTCCAATATCTATTGCAAAAGTACATATACCAAGCTGTCTTGAATTGTGTTTTCAGCTGAGTCTTCATGCCTCCAGTCTGTAAAAAAAAATAAAACAATAGGGGGAGATGTGGTACCAGGGTGATAAAACAATAGGGGGAGATGTGGTACCAGGGTAATAAAACAATAGGGGGAGATGTGGTGCCAGGGTGATAATGCCACTGGTTTAGTAATCCAGAGGCTCCACTTAATGCTGTAGGGACATTGGTTCAAATCCCATCATCACAATTAACAGAATTTAAATTCAATTAATAACATTCAGAATTACAATTAAATAATCATCAATAATCATAAAAACCATCTGCTTCACTAGTGTCCTTTAAGGAAAGAAATCTGACATCCTTACCTGATCTGGCCTCCATGTAATCTGGTTGACTCTTAACTTTCCTCCAAAATGGTCAAGCAAGCCACTCAGTTCAAGGGCAATGAAGGATGGACAAAACTTGCTGGTCTTGCTGGCAACTGTCACGTGCCATGAACAAAAAAAGTTTTCTGTGCGATTGCCATCACCACATTGGCCATTGGCACTCCCTGGGGTCTAACCGGTAGAGGTTGCATGACGCCTGGTATTAACTGCTGGCTGGATAGACAAAGAGGAAGTTTAATTTTAATTTTGTTAGTCTAGGCCAGGAAGGCTAGGATTGGGGGTCACTGTCACCATATTATCTCTTCCCTCCCCCACCCTATGCTGCAGAGGTTAGGGTTTCCTTGGAAATTTATTTCCAAACCAGCGTTAGGCCCAGACAATTCGGATTTTGTGGTGGGCTTGAGCTGACAGGTTGCCTGGGGAGAGTTTAGTTTCTGGAAACCTCCTTTTGGCCCAATGCTGAAAAGGTCCAGTCCTTAAAACAAACCAGCCTCCCAAGAATTTTGCCTGTCAGCAACCAAAATTCTCTCCAAACAAAAACTCTGTTTTGCCTCTTTAGAAATACTTTTTTTTTCCATTTTAAATTTTAAATATCATTTATCATCACATCATTAAAAGTCATTAAGGGGAGGTGATGGCCTAGTGGTATTATTGATGGACTGTTAATCCAGAGACCCAGATAACATTCTGGAGACTCAGGTACGAATCCTGCTATGGCAGATGGTGGAATTTGAATTCAATAAATATCTGGAATTAAGAATCTAATGATAACCATGAATCCATTGTCAATTGTTGGAAAAACCTGTCTGGTTCACTCATGTCCTTTGGGGAAGGAAACTGCCATCCTTACCTGATCTGGACTACATGTGACTCCAGATCCACAGCAATGTGGCTGACTCTTAACTGCCCTCTGGGAAATTAGGGATGGGCAATAAATGCTGCCTGGCCAGCAATGTCCTTATCCCGTGAAAGAATAAAGGGGAAAAAATGTAAAATTCCATCTTGAAACCATTCCACTATTCTACCTTTTCTTTCTCTTCTCCTTTATGACATTTCTTCAAATGTTTATGTCCGATTAAGCGTTTTTCCACCAATTTTAAAATCCCTCAATGACAAATCTTCAGCTCATTTTGCATTCTCTGGAAGATTTTACTAGATTAACTGCATTGTATAAATACAAGCTTTGCTATTGTGCTATTGTCCACAACTCTTAGTCTTCAAGATTGCACACATTTATAGCAGTGTAAGAGGTATAATTAAATCCTACAGGATTTATCATTTTCACCAGCTAGTATATTAACCTTAAACCGTCTCATGCAATTTCATGATTTATCATATGGGTCTTCTGAGATTCTTCAATCATAATAAAATGTTCCCTTTCAGTTTTCCTCACTAACTGAATTAACACCGAAATCAAAATGCTACCTAATGCAAGGTATCTACTTTTGCATACTTAAAATATTTATTTTAATCATTTCTATACAAATCTTTTTTGCATTAACTTTACATATTGCAAAATTTGAAATAATGTGAATAAAGGTAATATGGATGGGAATTGGCCAAAGGGCATTCACTATGAAATGAGATTATGAACCCTCAATAACTTCTGCATATCAATAGAAAAAAAATCTCTGGATTCTTTTATTCTTAGATATTGTAGAATCCTCGCCATTTGTTTTGGAACTGTTCTTGTTTTCCATCCCATTCTTTTTTATAGTTCAATAAATCAACCTGCTGAAGAGTATATACTGAAATATTAACCCAGTTTTTCCTCTTTTTAGATGCTGTCAACTAACGACAAGTCAACACATTCTAGTTTTGCCCTTGATTAGCCTAAATTAGGATACTTTCTTAAGGTGAATGTAAAACGTCCATTTGAAGAGATTAACTTCTATTCTTTGTCTCATTTCTTTTAGACTCTGACCAATGGAGAAATTACTGCAAAGAAAATTAGGAAAAGAATTTAAAGTGTACAAAACGGATTTGAACACAATGAAGCCGATACCGCACTGTGTCAAATTTGTATAATTGAAATGAAAGCAATGGAATTAGATTAATAGCTGTGAATGAATTATTACTTGCATATTTCTTTATAAAGTAATATTTTTTCATTCTGTATCTAGATTAAATTTGGAATAAACACTTACAGTCAACCTATGAAAATCCCTTGACTCTTGGCTGTGATTAAGTTGTAGGGAATCTGGGATGAAAAATTGGCATTTGAAACAATTCTAACATATGCATAAAAAGAAAAACATCAGGTTTATGAAAAAGATTTCTTTTGTGTGAACTGAATAAAGACAGGTGGTTTTATATAATGCATTTAGCCAGCCAGAATCTGCATTTTCACGTTATAGTTTCACTCTCTTGAAATAGTCAAAAGTGTTTTCTTGCTAAACTGTTCTTGTTTACTTATACATATATGCTTATTTGATTTTACTACGTATGAATGATGCATTTTTATTGTATCATTAAAATAGATCAAGTAACCCATGAATGACAGATCATTAATTATTAGTGGTTCATTGCAGGTTGAATAAAAACAAATCTCACAGTTAACCCTTTAATATTAGTCTATGGTCAATCACCTGATTTGAGTCCCTCTGTTACAAATTCAGAGACATTATTGCAGTTAACACTGACATCAGTGCCAAACTAAAATCTTAAAACCTATTTGGTTGTGGCCCAGCTTCTACAGAGTAACTCAGGGAGATAAGGCAGTTTTTAAAGTGACTGTTATAGTATTTAATTCATGTTCAGAAAATAAGGTATTTAGAAAGTTGACTTTCCCTTTTAAAAAGTCATATTGAAAAGTCAAGCAATATTGGATACATAAAATTACTAAATATTCATAAAATAAATCTTTTTTTCCGTTTTAATCATGACTACTACCAAAAGAAAAGTCATCTTCCAGATTGGTTTACTGTCGATTGTGTTGAGGAACCTGGACAATGGTAAAGCCAACTCTGCCACCTGCAGGCCAGATATTCATTGAGAAGACATCTGAATTAAAGTTAATATATTAAATTCTTATTTTAGTAGACTGTGGATAATAATCAAATTTTTAAAATTTGATTTATAAAAGAAATCATTTTTCAGCTATCAAGCATTGAATTATACAGGTATTTTAAAAGTTAAACCAAATAACACTTTTTTTCATCAAGTTCTACTCTTGATGTTTTGCATTTGACTTTTGCACCAAAACTAATTTGAACTGTCAAATGATTTGAATCAATTTGAAGCAATATTTTAAAAAAGCACAATGAAGTGGAAATCTTCGAAGTATCATAACATTTGAGTTAATTCATGAACATAAATTGTATATTTTTATCATTGGTTTACTTTCTGGATTGGTAATTATTTAATATTGCAGTGTGAAAATAAAAGTAATTATATTTTTCTGTGATTGCTATTGCAAATTACCCAGTCATGCCTTCCCAATTCCCAAAATAAAAACTAAAATATTCTATTTGAGTGAATCTGCAGATGTTGCGCTGTGTGTCAACACTGTTTGATCACAATTACCATTCAAACAAGCAAATAATTAAGTTACTGTTGAGCCCTGAAGTGATATAAAATCTCCAATTAGACTTTGGTTTATTTCTGGTGTGTGCTAGCTTGAACAGGTGACTTAAGAGGAGGAGAAGTTAGCTTTGCTTACCTTGATAGGAAAACAATGGACAACATTGTGTCATTTAAACTGAAAGGATTTCCACATAAATATAATTATTAAAGAAGCTACATTTGCCTAGCAGGAAAGAGGATTTAACTTGGATTTGACTTGTTTATGCAAATGACCATGATTATTTATTCATAAATATTCTTTATTAAACAAATAAAGTTAACAATGGGCATTACGACTCTGCCATCAACAAGCCAAACAAAATAAGCTGAATAGTTTGAATGAAGTAGCAAGATTTCAACACTTCAGACTGAGATCCTCAGGCAGCATGTTGTTCACTGGTATCTTCCATAGCTTTGCAGTTGTGCTCATCACTCCAGCTGATGATAAGGGAGACAAAATGACACGGATTTGAAATGCTGTGGAACAAATCCTGATTTTTGGAAAGATCATCTCTAGAGATATAAAGATACATTTAACTTCAGTCAATGAATACTGTTCAAGTTATAATCTGAAATATTCACTCTTGTGTTGTGACAAACTTAAACGGTTGTGAACTGGGGAGTCACAAAGGAAGCATACTTTAAATGGGTATCTGACTCTAAAAGGTCTGCAACCTAGCTGCAGAAATGCCAATATGCTACAGAAAGAGTCTATTTGTAATTTCTAAAAGTGGGAGGTGAGTGGCTTATAAGGGAAAGTATGTTCAATATGTAGTTTTTCTCTCTTTAACACTGCATATTTAAAGTGTTCATGAGAGGACCTGATTATTTTAGAATGTGTATGCAAATTTGCTGACATCATCCTGATGTTTAGAATGTAACCAGCTGACAGTAAGATGACCAGCCTCCTTCCTTTCCTGGCTGCTGGTTGAAAACTTCGTTTCATTCCTTAAAGTAATGCAGAGAGGTTACTGCTGCATTCAGCCTCCATTTTTTAAAAAACACTTTGTTTTAAGTGAAACAAAAATAATCTTGATTTGTATCTCACCTCCAATTCAAGGGACAATCTATAAAAGTTACTCCTTGTTCTTACTAATACAAAGGGATTTTGTGGATTGGATTTGAAGATTGCACAAAAGAGGATATGAAAAGATGTCCAAAAGTAGTTCATTATGTATGTAATCCCATTGTGTCAATCCTTTTGGGGGTGTTGGTCTCTGCATTCAGTTAATTGAATCAAAGAAATTTATAACCAAGTTGGTACACAGCACATGTGTCAGCTCTTCAACTGAAGATTTCTATTTTAATTCCATGTGTATACATTATTTTAAATTATTTTTAAACTTTAAGTGGTAGGATTTCAGAGAATGCCAAGGGTCCATTATTTTAAAAAACAGAAAATAGAATAGGCTGAGTACCTACAAAAGTCATCCAAACTTGGTTCATGGGTAAATTATTGGAAAATACTTTGAGACACAATATTAATAACCCTTGATAGAAATATGGATTCATCAAGACAGTCAGCATGCAGTTGTTAAGAGTAGATCATTTTTGACCAAGATGACTCAATTTTTGAAGAGTAACAAGGAGGGCCAACATGGGTTATGTAATCTACTTTGAACTTAGCAAGGTTGTTGATGAGATCCCCTGTGGCAAACTAATGAAAAGCAAAGCACTTCGGTATCCAAACGCAAGTGGCAAACAGGATCCAAAATTGGCTTGTTCACTTCCACAGAGTTGTGTATGGCTGAGTCATGGGTACATTGCCTTTTCTGGTATACATCAGTTATTTTGGCTGAAATATGCGAGGAATAATTCAGCTTGTTGCAGATAACAGGAAACGTAATCGTGGGGTTGATGGTGAGAAAGCTGTATACAGCAGGAAGGGATCAACGAGCTGATCAGGTGGACAGGAAAGTGGCAAATGGCAAACAATTCTAGAAATGTGAGGAAGTACATTTGGGGAAACTAAACAAGGCACATGAATGCACTATAAATGGTAGGTTAGTGAGAAATATAGAAGAACAGAGATGCGTTAAACTGCATGTCCACAGACCACTGAAGGGAACAGGATAGTCACGGAAGCTGATTAAGAATGTACATCATATAATTCCCTTTATGAACTAATGCTTATAACATTGGAGCAATAAGGTTATTGCTAGAACAGCTTACACTAGTTAGATTATGTTTTGATGGAGATGGTCATTGTCCAACACTTTTGGAATGACTGTTGCTTGCCGTTTATCAGCTCCAAATTGACTATAGTTCAGGTCTTGCTGCAAGTGGGCACAGGCATACTGTAATACATGAGGAGTTGTGACTGAAACACATCATTGTTCACACATCAGACAGGATCCCACTTCTGAACTTGTTTTCAGAGACAGGTCATTGCTGAAGCAACTGAAGATGTTTGGGCCTGGGACATTACCCTGGGGAACCCCTGCAGTGTAGACATGGAACTGAGATAATTCAACTTCCCCAGTTACTATCACCTTCCTCTGGGTGAGGTATGACCCCACTGAATGGAGAGTTTCCCTCTGATTCCATTGAATTCAATTTTGATCAGGCTCCTTGAAGCTGCACTCAGTCAACTGCTGCCTTGATGACACGGATCGTCACTCTCCGCTTGCCTCTGGAATTCAATCTTTTTCTCTGTGTTTGGACCAAGGCTTTAATTACGATTGTGGATGAGTGGCTCTGGTGGAACCCAAACTGAGCATCAGTTAAACATTGTTGAGCCTGCTACCAAATGAGAACAATTTTCATGACTCTGTCTTACAGGAAGCTTTGAGGGCATCAGGAATTATTCTGTTGGGTTTATTTTGGAGCATAATCATAGTGAGGTTAATGGTATCCACTATTATTCAAGCGTCTAAATTACCTAACTTCTACCATCTGCGCAATGCTAACTGAATGTGGAAATCAGGAGATTTCCCTGTTCCTCCAGAAATTTGCTACAATGTTAACTTTCAGTTTTATTGAAATATATGGAACGTGATGAAGTTGATTTACATGTGTGATAAATGCACAGTCAATTGGTGGAAAAACTTGGACCTTGCTCATTCCAGTGAAAGCAATTTTTATTGTTGAGAGACCTACTGCATGCCCCCACACAACTGCAGTGGCACTAAAAGCTAATTTTTACAACTGAGGATTAACATTCCTTCCAATTTTCAATTATTTGTAGAAACCAATTTGTTTGATATGCATTTTCTGTCTCATATCCCAGATACCCTGTAGAGGGCACTGCACCCTATGAAGACACAGTAAATTCCTGCAATAAATTCTAAGAGACTCTTTAGCCAAATGTAATGATTCAGGAACCTTTGTTCATTTGTCACTGAATACAAATTTGGACAATTATTGCCTCCTCTAATTACTGATGGATGAAAACATGCTGATCAAAGAGCATTTACTGGTTGGATTCTCCTGCGGAAGGTTCAGACGTATGAAAGTTCTTAAAGCAACATTGCAAATGATGAAGAGGTAAAGTTTGAATTGTGATACCACAGTTTTACTTTTAGAGAATGGGTTTGAGTGGATATTAAATCTTCTTTCTCTGAATTGCATTTGAACACGATCCAGTTTCTAAAGGGGTCAACAC